GGGGACACTTCATAAGCCGTGGTCCCCAGCGAGGAAGTGGCAAGAACCTTTAAACCCTGAGGAGGGAGGAAGGGTGTATTTCCTTGATCCCCTAGAAACCGTGAGACGTAAGAAGAAACAGAGGAAAACCACAACTGCGAATGGAAACATCATTCTAGGCAGAGACAAGTTGGGTAAACAAAACACAAAGTCGAAAAATAAAGATTTAAACAATGTGATTAATAATGCAGAGCTTACCAAATAAACCCACACGCAGGGGTCCACTTTACTTCCTGTGTTTCACAGGGCTAGAGATGGAACCCAGGACCTGTGCGCACCACTCATGTGCTCCTGCCTCTAAGCTCCGCCCTCACCTCTCTTTCAAGCCTGAAATAAATCTGATGGTAATGCAGCTTCTGCATAAGTGTACATGAAATGTTACAAAATCAGACGATATATTTGTTCACAAAGAAAGCAACAGGTTCCACCTGTCTAAATATTACAATTACTCTCTGAACAAATGTAACAAGCCTGGAAAATATTGACAATTATTTTATTTATTTATTTTTGGTATTGGGGATCAAGCTCAGGACCTTGCACTTGCGAGGCAGGTACAGCACCACTGATCTAAATCCCCAGCTCCTTGAAAACAATTTTAAAAGGCTCTTGCACAGACATTTAACTATTTTCCGTTTTTAAAACTTGCAGTTAAAAGATACACTACAAATCAGAATTATAGAGTTTCTTAAAAAAACATAGTAATAAGAACACATTTCTGAATCTATGAAGAATATTTCAGGTAGTAATGAGAGGAATATGCATAGTTCCAGACACATATCAATATCAATGAATTAATCCTGAATCAGTGAATTAAATCATGAATCAGTGAATTAAATGCCCAATTCAGGGAGCCAGATGAGATAGTGTGCAGGTGTAATCCCAGCGCTCAGGAAGCTGAGGCAGGAGAATCACCATAAGTTCAAGGCCAGCCTGAGCCACATAGCAAGATCCTGCCTTATAAACAACAAACAAACAAACAAATAAAAAAAATTCCCAATTCAGAAATCTAAGAAAGCAATAGTAACACAAGCTAGAATGGAAAAAAGGGAAAGAAATTAATGCCATAGAGAAAAATGGAATTAAGTAAAAAAATAAAAAATTAAATAACAAAAAGTTAAAATATTTACATCATTGGCTAACCTAATCAAGATGGGAAAAGAGAAAAAAATCCAAATGTGAGAAACAAGAATTGACAAAGGAGAAAAAAATAAAAAAGAATTGACAAAGGAGGAAATAACTACTGAAGGACTAGAGACTAAAAATTATAACAGACTCCTCTGAATTACTTTATATAGCTAATTATTAAAACCTAGATAAAATGAGTAAACTTTTAGGAAGCTTACTGGGAACCCTTGAAATGTTTCTGGAAACTTCTGCAGTAAGCTCCAGTCTCCTGCTCAGTGTACAATGCAGGCCTAAGGGACAAAAACTAAAAGACAGAACTGAGAGAGAGAAAGTGGGGGCCAGCACGATCAATGCTGGTGCAACCAATAAAGGTGCTGGACAGTCCAAGCCACTGATTCCTATTGGTCTTCAATTGGGGTAAAGGAGAGCTATGTGCAAGGGTAGAGCTACATGTGAGGATGGGACTACATGTGGTTTCTATGTAAATTAATGTAAGCAAGGCTCATAAAGGGCAAAATAAAGCATTCTCCAATTAGGAGCAGAACAGACAGAATGTATGGTTGTAATTAGAACATTGTCCTTCTAGTTAAGAAGATTTTAGCTGTGGGAATGGAATTTCAGTGCAAATTACTCAGACCTTGGCACATAAGCTTCAGCCAGACTTGCTTCTATAAACAAGCCAATTGTGGGATTAACTCTTTACAGCCTGTACTGCTTTGAGCATAATCAATATTGCAGTCTCCTGAAGAAAACAGCAGTTTAGGGCTGGGGATGTAGCTCAGGGGTACTGTGCCTGCTTGGCAAGTGCAAGGTCTTGAATTCAATCCCTGGTACTAGAAAAAAAAAAACAAACAAACATAGCAGTTTAAGAAAATGGGTTCAGTAAAGATATAAAACAGAAATAAAAGACAGAAGCAGTGGAAAATTTTTCTCAAGAGCAAATTAAAAATCTCCATCCTCAGCCTCATAGGGAAATCCTAACAAGGCTTCAAATACGGCATGGTCCCTGGGGTCAGCGATTCTTCCAGAGGACAGACAGTGAGGATGCAGACAGCTCCATGCCGAGCCATTCACCTCAGAGCGTGTCATAGGCCCAACATATAAGAGCTAAAATCATGGAACGTCTAGAAAAAAATAGGATGGAGAATCCTGTGGCCTTGGATGAGGCAGAGGTTTGTCAGCTAGGAAACGTGGCATGCAGATCATAAAGGAAGATTACATTTTATCAAAACCAAAGCATATCTGCTCTTTGGAAGACGCTGCTGAAAAGTATGAAGACTGTCACAGACTGGAAAGAAGCATTTGCACAGCACATCCCTGAGCAAGGCTGTACAGGGACAAAAATGAGAGACCAGTCCGACATTCACTGGACAGCAACTAAAATGCAGAAGGCTACTAACAACAAGCGCTGGTGTGGATGCCGAGCAGCTGGCGTCTTAATCTATTGTTGACAAAAAGGAAAAATGGCACCTCACTTTGGGAGAACAACCCTTACAATCCTTACAAAGCACATCACACCACTCACCACACCACCCAGCAACCCCGAGAGTCATCCACCCCCAGAGCAAAGGTGCCTACCCCGCTGTGTGCTAAGTGCATTCAGACACTTGTGCAGTGTGCCTGACAGCTTGACTTACACCACAGTGGCCTGAAAACAACACAGAGACCCACCCACTGGGGAATGGACGACAGTGTGGAAGACGCCACACCTTGAATACTATGCAGAAAAGGATGCAGTACGATCACACACAGCGGCCTGGTGAGGTGACCGGCCTTGGGCACCCTGGCCCCTCAGTGGATTCATCCACTGGTATCCATGCCTGCATGCGCTGCAGGGAGGTGGTCGCTGGGGGCCCTGGGGGCAGCCTTGCAGATGTGTCTCTGGGGACTCCTGTGACCCCCCCCCCATAAGTGAGCAGCTTGCTCCGCCCCTTTCCGCCAAGACACTTCTGCCCGAGAGCCGGCCAGATGGAAACCCTGAACCGCAGGCCAACCGAACACACCGGTCCTTTGAATAGTAGGAGAAAGGCCAACGTAGAAGACAGCTCCAGCACAGCGCACTATCGGTCCCAGCAAGCCGCCCCTCGGGGCAGGAGTCGGGCAGAGCACTGACTGTGGTGTGTGGGTGGATTCAGGGTGATCTGGATGGTGGCCTTGTCCGCACAGCTGTGCGCCTCCACCAACTCACTGAATGGAGCCACTCACAATGGGTGGGTTTTACCGTGCCCGCATTAAACCCCAGTAAAGGTGATTCTTAGATGTCAAGGCATAACTTATCCCTGGTTTGTATTGCTAGTGGGAAGGCAGCGGAGGGACCACAGGAGAGGGACTAGCTGTGCAGGCCTTGACGCCTCACAGGCCTGGTGGGGCGGCTGTGCCCGAGGGGGCCAGCAGGGGGCGCAGGAGGATGGGGCAGGGGCACATGGAGGGTCTTTGCTGAGCCCCGCCTGGGGGACGCAGGGAAGGGCCTCTCCCGACAGTGCTGCGTGAAGAGATCAATGATTAGCCCCGGTCACACGCATGATGGCTGCAACACATGACCGATGTACATTACGCCTCAGCACGCGTGGGTTTCTGGCCGGCAGTTCCCGCCCACCTGGGCGGGGCAGGGCGAAGCTCTGCCTTCGGTTTCAGGCCGAGTGTTCACAAGCACCCTTGGCCCGAGAAGCACCCAACTTTGTGTTTTGTCCTTTTCCAGGTGATTTTGCTGTTGAAGGGCGGCTGGACGCAAAGATATAGTGCTGGGGACACTTGGCCCAAGCAGAGTGACCCTGCCGCTGCCGAGACGTGGATGTTGGTGCGTGGAGTAAAGGTGAGTGTGGCCTGTGAGTGAACACACCCACGACCTGAGCGCCAACCCGCTTCCTGGGTGCTACTTCCCCAAAGGAGGGGTACATGGTGGCGTGGGGACAGGTGTGCAGCCTTCGGAGCTTACCCACACCTGCCTGTCCGCAGTGGCCCGGGCCAGCCTGTGTGACACCTCTGTCCCTCCCTGCACCCGAAGCTTCTAGGATTACCTCAGACCCCCCATGCCTCCTGCGAGGTCATCCACACTCCCTCAACCACAAGCTGGGAGCCAAGACTGGGAATCACAGGCCCTGTGTGGTGAGCCGCCCAGGACATCGGCCAGGCACAGCAGACCCGCTCCTACAGACCCTGTGCCATCAAGGAGCCAGTTCCCCCCTGGATCGCTTTCCAAGGTAGCTTTGTCACCCGAGGAAGCCCACAGTGCCAGGGGACAGGCGGGGCAGAAGACCCGAGGGCTGCCTGCCCTTCACCCGCCCCCGAGGAGGTCCACGGCCAAGGACCACACTGACCTGGCCGCCTCTGTGTCCCTGAGGGAGATGGGGGGCAGGGACAGGAACAGGGACAGAAGCTCCCCAGAGAGCCCCGGAGAGAACATGGGTCCCAGAGCAGGTGCAGGCCAGGTCTGGCCCTCGGGGAGACACATTTGAAGGTTACCGTCCTCCAGGACAGATGCTTGGCGTCTCCGATGGGCCTTGGAGCCACGCCCATTATCTTGAGCAGAGGCTTTGTGGGGAAGGGGGTGGAGCTACAGAAAGCCCAGTCTGTGTCACAGCTCAGCACTCCTGGCTGACACTGCCGCCCCACTGCGAAGACACACAGAGTCCCCTGCAGGACGGCCTCGGCCATGAGGCCAGCTCCGCCTTCCACACCTCCACACGTGCCTGTGAGGGAAGGGTGTTCAAACTGCACACACACGTGTCCTCACCCACCCGGGCACACACGCACGCACCCCTGCACGTGTGCCCACACACCATCACCGCCATCCCTGCATCCAAGAGCACAAAGTGACATGCGGCAGATGCCAAGGGCTTTCTTTATTTGAAGAAGCTGTGAGGCGAGCTCAGAGAAGGGGCAGGAAGGTGCAGAGACCCAGGGACCAGAGGAGCCTGAAGCGGGTACCGGCAGACTCTGACCTTTCCTCTGGTCTCGCAGTGGGAAGCTGGTCCGGCCCACAGAAACTCTGTGCTTCTCAGTAATAACAGTCTGCAGAGGGGAAATGGGCAGGGGTGGGGCGGGACTTCCTCCCCAACGGCCCCACTCCCAGCCGGGTGCTCTCCATGGGGCCAGCAGGACGGAAACTTTCCTGGAGGGCCTTTGGGGCCCCCAGAGATCACCCAGAAAGCTCTGAGAGCAGGAGACCCTAAGAGCAGGAAAAACCAAAAGCGGTTTCTGCACCAGCAAGCTCTCACCCTGACTTTGAGCAGGGTGCTCTGTTTCTAAAGGGAGGGGAGCACATGCAACTGGGGGACCCCAGACTCTCTGGGTGAGACGGGGTGGGAAAACGGATGAAGAGGTGTGGCAGGAGAGGAGGGCACAGGCCTGGCTTCCGGCTGACTCTCAGGCCACGTGGTGCAGGCACACGGCCGCATCTAAGCCCAGATGGGTGGAGTAGAGGCCGTGGAGGCCGCGCGGTGTCCAGACCCAGGTGGGGCTGGGCACTCTGAGGAGGGCAGCTTGGGGCCCCCAAAGCAGCCCAGCTGGCTGGTGCCACGGCCTCAGACAGCCCCCCACCTGCCCTGCTGCCCCAAGGACCCAGCCTCATACCTCTCACAGGCTTGGGGAAGAAACACCAGGGCACCTGGGGGACCGCGTTGGAGAAGCAGCAGTTGCGGGAGGCGCAGTCCTTGGGGGTGATGCCGGGAAAGCCGCAGTTCTTGCGGTCTGAGACCTCCATGACGCACTGCTCAGAATCTGGCCCCGGAAGGCACGGCTCAGACGCTAGCTCGGGGGGACGGAGAGGGTATCCGTGAGGCTGGCGGCCTGGGAGGCCCTCGGTTGGCAGGCTCTGTGTGTCCGCAGGAAGTGTCCCAGGCACTGCGGTGCCCCGCAGCCTGCCCAGTTCCCACCGAGAATGAGCCAGAGTGGGTGGTCAGGGTGCATCTGGGCCGTGGGCATTCGCCTGCCTGTGCTGGACTCTGGTTCTGCTCTGAGGAATGGCGCCCCTCACCGAACCATGACCAGCAAAGGGGTTGGCAGTGAATTTCAGCGGGGGCAATGTTGGCCCACAATGGAACCCACCGCCGCTGCCCTGAGGGACGGCCCATTGTCACCACGGCTGCAGGCCCTCCTGCCAAGCTTGGCGAGGCATTGGGGCCCTTCCCCTGCATGGGGTCGAGCACACCAGGCCAGGGCCATGCACACGGCGGGCTGGTGTGCGGCTTCTCCATGTGCAGGACGACTATAAGGGTGGGCTCGGACTTGGACTGCCCGGGGCTATGGGAATCTCAGCCCCGCACCAGACACTGAGTCTGCTGGGGGTACAGCTGCCGCTCTAGCAAGGGCCTCCTTCTCCTCCTGGACTCTTCTTTGGAAGTCACGGGTGTGAAGTTAGAAGGATCATAAATAATTTTGTGGCCCCCAAATAAAGTGAAACTGATGGGTTTGTACTCAGACTGCTCAAAGCGAGGCGTCTTCATCTCTGGGTTAGTTGGCCAGACTAACCAGCCTGCGCCACCTGAGATGGACTGGCCTGACAGCCCTGGGGCTGTGATGGCGAACCTCTTAGAGCCTCCAGTGATAACAAACAGCCCACTAGGCACACGTGCCATAAGTTTGCCACCACTGCCCTAGACCAGCCGGCACGGGGTTAACCAGCCCGGTCAGCCCTACACCAGTCAGCTGGACCAGCCTGACTCACCAGGCCGGGCTGCTTGCAGACTCAGCAGCCAGGCTAACTGGGCCAGGCCTAGCCCGACCACCTGGACCATGGGGCCTGGGCTGGCTCCGGGCCAATGGCCTGCACTGCTCTGGACTCTGCCCAGGACCCACGTCCTGTACTGCCCATCGCCCCGGGGAGGCCTGGCTCTGTTTACCTTGAAGGGGCAGCGGGTAGAAACACCAGGGAACCCCAGGAATGCTGGAGTTGAAGCAGCAGCCTTTCTCGAAGCACTGGTCTCTGGAGATGTGTAGGTAGCCACAGTTCTTCCTGTTGCTGACTTTCAGCCGGGAACACTGGCAGGGGGCTGTGGAGAGGTCGGCGGTCACCCCCTCCGATCAGGGTTTGAAGACCCTCCGTGTCCCAGGAGCTAGAAGACAGGGTCTCATCCTGCCTGCGTTTGAACGCTGGTTTCCTCCAAGGAACTGATGGCCTTTGCCAAAGTTGCCCTATTCGTTACAAGAACAGCAGCAGCAGTGATCCTGCTGCAGAGACATCTGGGCTCGGCAAGGTTGAGGCGGAAGGCCAGCAGGTAGCCGGGGGCCATCCTGACCCCTTGGTGGCCCACACCATGGTCTCGGCCTTTCTTGGAGATTGGAATGAGGGTGCCCTGGGGCCTCCCGAGCCAGCATCGGATCCCAGCAGGCTTCACAGCCTCCGCCCCCAAGCTGACTCAGGAGCGGGGCCGGCAGGGTGAGGGGCTGACCCGCCACCCCTGGAGCTCGTAGGCCCCTGGCCCCCTGGCCCAGCACACGAGGCTCTCACTTACAAGGCTTCTCACCCCCAACCAGGGCACACAGCCCCAGGGTGAGGACCACGGCGACGAACATGGCATCTCGAGGACGCATGTCCACTCTGCTACACCTGGGGCGGCCAGCAGAATGGACAGCTGCTGCCGGCCGGGGAGATTTAACATCTCCTGTCTGTTTGCTCAGCGAGCCCTAGAAACCTCCCCAGCCGTGGCCTTTTGTTAGGAGAAGGAGCTGAGATAGCCCGGCCACCGGGAGGAAGCCGGACCCTGCGAAGGCGAGGCTGCTGGCCCCCGCCTGGCTCTGGCCAGGAAGTTGGCTCGTGCCAGGCTGCTGACGTGGGACCTGAGCCATGCACATGGCTGGGGCTGGACGCCGGGGTCACACCCAGGAAGGGATTAGTTGGGCATTGCTCCTGATAAAGTACCCGGCCACCACAGGAATTTTTGACATATTGGGAACAGGGTGACTGGGGAAATGGAAATGATGGAGGCGCGCTGGGTGGAGAAGGCCCCAGCGAGGGACGGGGGAGCCCTGCAGTGGCCGTGCAGCTGAGCGCCCCGCAAACCTCCACACCAGCCCCAGTCCCGAGCCTTCTCCGTGTGCAGAGCCGGACTCCGAGCCGCTCGAGCTGCTTCCTGGTTAAGGAGTTCGGCTCTTCTCTGTGCCCGCACCATGCCACGAGCGAGAACCGCTGGCAGCGCAGCGTTCCCTGTGTCTTTCAACTTCACACTTGTGCGGGTTTTAATCCCCTCTAGGATTCTGTGTTCCCACTCCACTTCCCCTCCTCCGACCACACTCAGAATGTGAGCTCCACAGAGACGGACTCAGAAACCCTCTCTGCTCTGATCCCTGCGCTTCTAGCCTTTCCTTTGTGGCTGCCACTGCACCTGCCCTCTAAACCCTAACCCTCAATCGCTTATGGCTCTGCCTTCCCCCGTGAGTGAGGACCCCGTGAGTCCTGGGTCACTCACCTCTTCCCCACTGTGACTGCATGGCCAGGGCATCTCATTGCCTCTGCCCCAGAGTTTGTCAGCTGCCCGTTCCAGATGATGCCTGTCCCTGCTGCTACACTGTCCCTGCAGGACCACAGACCTCCTGGGGACCCTGTGGCCATGCAGGTCCTTAAGAAATCGATGTGATGCTGGGGATTTAGCTCAGTGGTTCCACTGCCTGCCTTGAAAGTGCAAAAGGGGAAGCAGAAGGAACAGACAGGAGGGCTTTGGCAGCTGGCTTTGGCTTCTGGGAACCCCACCAGCGACCCCAGCACATGGGCTGAGAACCACACGTGTGGCGCAGCCAGAAGGCTGACAGGACAGTGGGTCGGGCTGGGGAATGGGGAGGCATCATCCTCATTTCCTCTGGAGCCTGGGCTCTCAGTGCCCAGGGCAGAAGTCCCTGGGGCTCTTGTCAAATGTCGAGTTGTCAGTGCCCCAGGCAGGGGAAGAGCTCCTGGGGTGAGAGCCGGGCTGGGACCTTTGGGAGCCAGTAGCCCGGGGGAGCAACTGGCTGAACACCCACAGCTTGGTGGAGATCAGGGGTGCCTCAGACCCAAGGTAGCCTGACTGTGTCGTGAGGTCTGGGAACAGCCACTTTAGTCTGCAGTGAGGTGCGAAAAGCCTGCAGCCCGGGGCTTCCACGCGGGAGATTGTTGCCTCAGGGTCCCCAGACCAGAAGTCCAAGATGGAGGCCTGGCTGGGTGTCCCTCCCGAGGCCTCTCCGGGGCCCGCAGACGTCTTCTCTTCCCAGAGCATCTGGTGATCTTTCTGGGTTTCCTTCTTAGAGGCACTGGTCACCTCAGCTACGAACCCACCCCAGCAGCCTCGTTTTGACTCAGTTTCCTCTTTCTAGACTCCGTTGGAAAATGCAGTGAGATCTCAACACCGAATTTAGGAGACAGCTGAATCCAGACGTACACACAGCAGCCTGTGCAGGGTGAACTGAAGAGCAGGCATTGTCCACAGCCCCGGAGCGGCACGAAACCGGTCCAATAGCTGAAGGAAAACAAAAGTACAGTGAAAGAACGGCAACAACAAAGGAATCTGAACAGAGAAATGAGGACTAAAATGAATCACATGGAAGTTTTAGAATCGAAAAGTACACGGCCGGGGATGAAGCTCAGCGGTATAGCGCCTGCCTGGCAAGCGTGAGGCTCTGAGTTCGATTCCTGATATATCAAAAAACGAAAAAGAAGAAAAAAACCATTGAAAACTAGAACATCAGGAATGAAATCATTATTGTTTGGGCTTTAAATTAGATATTGACTAGAAGACACCGCTGAAGAGACACTCACTGTGCTCAGAACCAGTGCCAGAGGGAACTCCCAGCCGGAGCACAGAGAGAAGGGGCTGGAAGACGTGAGCAGAGTTGCAGGGCTTCTGGGTCAGTACCACGCAGTCTCACCCACCTGGGGCGGGTGGAGCAAGAGGAGAGGAAGGAATTGAAGAAGTGTGCGCTAGGCAGGAAAGAGGATCTGGAGAAAGAACGGCCGGATGCTGTGTAAACGCCACGAGATGCAGAAACTCAAAACGGCTTTAGGGAGAGAAATACAAAGCAAAGCACATCGGGACACGGTGTGCTCAAGGCGCCAGAAACCAGTGGTTAAGAAGACTGGCAGAGCAGGTGAGAAAAGGGGAACTTCAAACGGGAGCGCGCGGGGCCACGAGCTGGTGTCTGAGGACACGGACGGGAGGCAGAGGACAGGCCAAGCGTCATCAGAGCCGGGAGCGAAGTCTCCCCGCCCTCAAACCCTCCCTCACGTCCAGCGTCCTCCTCCCTCGTCCCGGCCCCTCCTGCAGCGGCTCTGGAGCCCTCTTTCCTTGGTGTCTTGAGCTGCGCTGTCCCGGCCGCCTCGATGTCGAGGTCCCGAATGGGTTCGAAAGGCTTCCCCGTCATGGCCGTTCCGACTGTGGGAGGAGCCAGGCGTCACGCGGTGCCAGATCCGCGGACGCAGGAGGACGAGGTCTCAGCGTCGTGTTTTTATGAGCTGCCTTGCTGTTGGGTGGCTCTGGGCGGCAGCATTTACCCCATTTTTGTCACACCCCATAAAGACTCTCAGGAAAGAGGACTCCAGAGCTGCTTCGGACAGGGGCAAGGACGGTGGGAGGACGTCGAGGGGCATTCATGGCGGTGTTTTTATTGTCATTCACCCTGTATTTGGGTCACAGCTCGTGTTCAGGCTGAAAGAGAAAGTCAGAAGTCTACACCCTGTGAAAACGCCCGAGAGACGGGGTCCCAAAGCTCAGAGACCCACCTGGCCAGCCTGTCCCCTTGAAACTTCTTCACCTCAGGGGCTGAAGCAAGGACCACCCTTTGCACAGCGAGAGCTCCGCAGGCTGCAGCTGCCCTGCACACCTGGCTGCCTCCAGGTGGGGAGCTCTGTCCAAGTCTGCTCATCTCTCAAACCCAGCGTGGCCCACCTGGCTGAGCCCAGCCTTCAGGGTCTTTGTAAGTGCCGGCTCGGTGGCTTCCTGTCACCTTCTGCCTGCTCACGGCCTTTGGGGCCAGACTCCCGGGAGCTTCAGCCCTTCCTTTGAGGGCATCCTCTGTTCCCTCGGGAGAAGCCGGGGGTGGGGGCTGCCCCTCCCCCATGGGGCCCTCGGTCCTCCTGAATCCTAGCACTCAGCCATACCACACTGAGGGCAGATTTGTATTGTTCTGGTTCCCGTACTGATTTCACTGAAGACTCAGCTGTCCTTACTTCCCAACTCTGACAACAGCCTAAGGATTTTCCATGCTAGCTCATTCCAGCCAGGCACAGTGGCATGTGCCCATAATCTCAGCGCTCAGAAGGCTGAGGCAGGAGGGTTTCTGTGAGTTCATCGCTGCCAGTTCAAGGCCAGACTGAACTACACAGTGAGACCCTGTCTCAAGTAAAATCCCGAACAAAGAAGTAAATATACCTCCTTTCACCCTTGCTGTGACCCAGAGGAGGGTTGTCATCGCTCTTCCCACTCCATACTCCAGATGCGTTGAGACCTTGCCCGAGTGACACAGCGAGCACATGTGGGATAGGAGCCACGCCAGTCCTGAGCCCCGCACACCGTGGATGCTAGCACCCAGCCTCGGGTCCGGCCACAGCAGGCCATGCACTGAGGTGCAAGGCGGAGAAGGGACCCCGACCTCTGGGGCTTTGGAGAAAGGGGTTCGCGCTCTCGTGCCTCACCCTCATAACCAGGCTGGAGCTGGGGCAGCCTGGCTGCTGCCCTGAGTGGGGCCCCTGCCTCTGACAGGAGGGGAGGACCTGCTGGACACTGCCTGCCCCTAAGAGCTGAGTCTGATATGGTCTCACTTCACTCTGTCACTGAGGAGGGGATTTTCATGACCCAGACTGGCATAGGCAGTGTCCCTGGCCAGAGAGGGAGGCCGGACACAGGGCCCCAGTACCTTTCCTGGCATCCGGGTTTGGCCGGTTGTAAACAGAAGCTGTCCCATCCGTGCTGTGGAGTGGGGTCTCACTCCACTTCCCTCGAGAGAGGTTTAGGCCCAGATTTAAATGGCCCTGAGAGGTGGTCTCTGGCAGCAGACGCTCTGTGCTTTTGGCTGCTGTTGGTTTGCACCATGCTGAGACAAGCCACACTCTGGCCAATTTTTAAACTAAAGATTATTTACACCATTTGTACTGCAGGTCCAGGTAAAAGGCTGTATTGCATAAGAATTGGCACAGGCCAACTACACTTGTTTTTTTGTTTTGTTTTCTATTTTTGAGACAGGGTTTTACTATGTAGTCCAGGCCGGTCTTGAACTCACTCACTACGTAGCCCAGGCTGGAGTCGAACTTGTAGCAATCCTCCTTCCTCAGCCTCCGGGGTGCAGGATTACAGGGTAGCACCACTATGCCTGGCTCACTGCCTCTTTTACACATCAAGCTTTATTGACACGCAGCCATGCTCTCCCTGTTAGACGGTCTTTTGCTGGCTTCCTGGCTACAGAGGCAGAGCTGATTATGGTGAGGAAGACCAAATATGTGGACTGTCTAGCCCCTTTGAAAAAGACTACTCCTGTAGTCTTAAAATGGCCTAAAATGAATTTTAAAAATCAGGAAGAGGGAAATATTTACATTTTATTTATAAATGAAATGTTACAGAAGTAAGTCTTAGTTCTTTTACTTCCCCTGTAATCTGGTCTTGAAAACCATGCACTCTGTGTACTGGTAGTTGGGAGATGTCTCTCAGTGACCCGGATTTCTTTGCTCTCATGGATGAAGACTGAGCCATCCTAGGTGCGAGACCTAAAGATAAGCCTCCCACTCAGAGCTGCCAGGAGTCCCGGTGGCATGGAGGGGCCCGTGAGCCCCCTGCAGTCCCAGGGCTAAGATCCCCCGGGGCCTGGTTCCTGTGTATCCCAGAGCAGCGATCCGCTGCCTGCCAGCTGTAGCCCTGTTGAAACAAGCTGACCCACCCCTGCAGGAACCGCAGGCCGCCACACCCCACTGATACCCACAGCCCAGACTCTCCCTGGGCCCCCAGCCCCTGCCTCGAGCCCTCTGCAAGGCTGTGAGCCCTCTGCCCGTGTGGGGTGCTCAGCCAGCCACGGGCCCCCAAGCAGTGGCCGGACAGGAGGAGGACGAAGCAGGATCAAGGGAGCTCGTGGGGGAGTCTCGGGAAATACGGAGGTGCCTCTCTCTGGAGTGAGGGGCAGCAGCCACCTTGGGTCCTGAGGGTCCAGCTGCTCTCCGGTACCCAGTGCCATCCCGCGCGTCCCTTGTCTGAACCAGGAATCTCGTGCTGGCTGGTCCGGCTGTGGCAGGCCACCGGTCAGCTTGCAGGGTCCCTGTGCTCACATCCTTTCCCCCGTTGCTAGTACCAAACCAGCTAAGGCCAAGTTCAGAAACCTCCCACGATCCGCCTCTCCGTGGGCTCCACTAAGCCCAGGGCCCCGTCCCGCACCTGCCAGCCGGTGGGTGTGTGTGGCTCTGCCCTGTGTCCCCTCCAAAGAGTGCGACTCCGCACAGAGACGCCCTCCGTGGTCCCGCTCTGAAATCTCCTCGGACCTCAGCTGCCGTCCTTTCTTCCCAGGGGCTCTCAGCACCGCCCAGCAAGCCCACGCTCCCCCCGGAGCCTTCCTCCTCAGCTGACATTTCCGGACAGCCTCACCAACTAAACATTTCAACGCCCCCTCCTCGCCCCTTCCTCTTCCTCTTTGCCTCTCCTCTGCCCACAAAGAAAGATGAGGAAGTTTTCTCAAGCCCATGCTATCGCTCTGTGATACTGTTAATAACCCTACAAATATGGTCTCAAGCCAAACTTGGCTTGGAGAATCATTAGTTCCTGGTTTGACCTTTAGTTCAGCAGTCTGTGAACAAAACCCCGTTGTCTGAAAAGTTACCTGGGAGCCACAGAGCCTCCAAGTTCATGCTCGGCTGTGGAGGAGAAGGCACAGGGACGGCCTCCAGGCCTGCAGCCCCACAGTGTTTCAACTTGGCCCATGGTGAGGGTGCAGGGAGGGGACAGGGACACCTCGGGCGTGGGCGATGGGACAGGGTCCCCTGTGGTAGCAGGGGCCAGTGGGGAGGTGTCGGTCAAAGCCCTGAGATGGACAGTGCCTGGGGACAGTATGTCCTCTCCATGGGCCTGACCCTTCCCCTGCATGCTGGAGCTGATGGGGTCACCTGTGTGTTGGGGGGTGACAGCTGTGGCCTCTGGCACATGACTGATAATCAGGCCCTGGTCTTCCCATCCTTCCTGTCAGTTGATGCGTCTTCTGGGTCACCAACTCCCACAGTATCCACAAGTGACCATCACTGGAGTGGCACCTACCACAGCACAAGCTTCCTGGTTGTCCACAGTCTGCCCTCAATGCCTCCTGAGTTTCAGGAGATTGCGATTTTCCTTATCACCTTTAGCAGAGTTAGACACCTGGACCCCCAGACGCAGGCTGATGGCAGCAAGGGGGGACCATTT